GGTGGCAATGATGGTGGTGATGATGGTGACGATGGTGGTGATGATGGCAATGACAGCAACAACGATGGTGGTGACAACTTCATAGGGTGGATGCGAAGCTCGAATGCATGCATACTATGGTCTTTACAGGGTGCTCGTTGTAGAGAGTGGTGCCTAAAGGTGACAGCTCTTATGATGATAACTACCGTCACCCAGAGACAAAACGACTTCTCCATGGTCCCAGAGTAGTAGAACCGGATGCCCAAACATCCCTACTATAATTTTCCAGCTCATCACGTAGCCAAACAAATTACAGTGTCAGAAATCGAGCCAGTGTTAGAACACACATGACCCTGAATCAATATGGAACCCATCGTAACGTTCCTCTTCTGGTACAGGAGGTACATCTGACTTCTGGCAGGCCTCAGGGCCATCGCTGTCGACACAAGCTCTGGGAGAGTCAGTAGAGAAAATGGGGACTCTGAGCTGCACAGACATGTGATAGCCTGGTACGGTTTAGAAGATATGAGTAGACCCTGTGGAACTTGTTTACCGGTCACTTGACTCCGAAAAGTTGAGTAGGGGCAAGCCAGGGCATCCCTGGAGCTTTGCAACTCAGGTGAGGACTCCAGGTAGAGGGCACAGGCTAGAGGTAAGAAGCAGTCTGCAGTGTCCTGATGCCACCCCACCCCCAACCAGTCTCCAGATGGCATCCAAGGAGGATCTTGAATATGTGAGATCAGGCCAGTCCCTTCGGAGAATGGTTCAACAGCTCCCCACTACCCCTAGGAAAAATCCAAACACTTGCCCAGCCCATGCAGCCCCACCCACTTCTCTGTCCCTTCCATCACCATAGTCCAGCCAAACTCGTCTTTCTCTCCCTCGGGTCCTCTGCCCATACTGTTCCCTTTGCCTTAACACTGTTCCTCATTCTTCACATGGCCAGCTCCCCTTTATCCAGCAGGTCTCAGCTTCAGTGTCTCCCCCCATGGAACACCCTCCCCGACCACCTCCACCTGTTACCTACCCTGGCCTTGTGTTCGTTTCCTTCCCGGTTTACATCACTGTTGGGAACTATGTTACCTAACGGCTCAGAAGGATTTCTGTGTATTTCTTCCACTTGAGTGAAGGTACGTGCAGATAAGCTTGTCTCCCATTCAAGTGAGGATGAGCTCAAGGGGGGCAAGGGCCGTGTCTGTCCACACTCTGTTCCCAAGGCCCTGCCATTGACCTGTGCCTGGCATGTAGTAACTGTTCAGTAAATATTTCACGATAAATATCTATAGCCGGATCCTAGCATGCTCAAGAAAAGGGGAATGATGGAAATAACGTGGGGTGATTCATCTGCTTCCCTTCCTCCCACAACACGTAACTGATAAGCTCTATGAGAAAGCCCAGATTATGTCTAACTCATTCACCGTAGCACCTGCAAGACTTTGCCCAGCGCAAGGTGCAAGACCCCTGATAAGTAACTGTTAAAGATGTGTTTTGGGGGCACCTGGGTGGCTCAGTTGGTTGAACATCTGACTTCAGCTCAGGTCATGATCTCACGGTTCATGGGTTCAAGCCCCGCGTTGGGCTCTGGGCAGACACGCTCGATGTCTGGAGCCTGCTTCCGGTTCTGTGTCTCCCTCTCTCTCTGCCCCTCCCCTGCTCGCGTTCTGTCTCTGTCTCTCTCGAAAATAAAATAAAACATTAAAAAAAAAAAACACGTGTTTTCACCCCAAGTATGCTGGACTTTTCTGTAATCACACAGGAACAATATCAAGTGTGAGGGTTTGGCCAAGGGAAGTAGAATCTTGTTGGATGTGACACGTTTTCCAAACAGATCCCTGCCCATGCCCCCCGAATGGCACAGAGTCTATAGAGTTCTTAAATTAAGTATAGTCTAGATGTGACTTCTCTGACAACTGGAGAAATGGGTAGATGAAAAAAATCTCATCTCCTGGGTTAATGTGTCTCCCAATGTCAGAGGCATTGAAGCTCCCAGAAGACCACAAGACGCAGGGGTCCCGGAGTTGGGATGTCAGGGCTCAGATGTTAGATCTAGCTACGTGACCCAGACAAGCCATTTAACATCCACAAGACTCCATTTCCTCTTCTGCAAAATGGGCACGTGTGCAGTAAAGGGTTAACCCTGCCTATGGAAAGGTCTGGCCCTTCGCCCCCAGTTCCCAGGAGGCAGATTCTAAGCCCTTGGAATATTTCACGTGGGAGCCTTGGGCCACACCAGATAGCCTAAGCCTCCATGTGATGTATGGTAGGGCGCCTTGGACCATGTGATGTCAGCTCAACCTTTGGAGGGGCTGGAGACTAAGTCAGCTATGCCCTAGCGAAAACTCTGGACACCAAGGCTCAGGTGAGCCTCTCTGTGTACCTGTCACACACTGTCGCTGGAAGGTAGTGTGGTTAGCATACCTCCCTGGAAAAGGACAGACAGAAGCTCGGACCTGGATACTTCCGGATTCTGCCCCATGCTCCTCTGCCCTGGGCTGATCTTAATCTGCATCTTTTCGCTATAATGAACCGTAACAGTGAGTAGAGCAACTTTTTTTTTCCTTTAAAAAAAAATTTTTTTAACGTTCATTCATTTTTGAGAGACAGAGAGAGACAGGGCGTGAGCGGGGAAGAGGCAGAGGGAGAGGGAGACACAGAATCAGGAGCAGGCTCCAGGCTCTGAGCTGTCAGCACAGAGCCCGACGCGGGGCTCGAACTCACGGACTGTGAGATCATGCCCTGAGCCGAAGTCAGACACTTAACAGACTGAGCCACCCAGGTGCCCCAAGAGCAACTTTTCGGAGTTTTCTGAGTCCTTTTTGTAAACTGAGGGTGGTCTTGAGGACCCTTGAACTTTGAAGCTGGTGTCAGCTTGTCACCTTGTCAAAGCAAGGGTGGCGTTGGGGACTCTGAAAACTTTCAGGTCAATACTAGCACCTCCCCCATTGGATATCAAGAAGACATGAGCCGATGCAGGTGAAACCCTTAGCACGGAGCCTGGCCCGGAATACATGTTCAACAGGTATTTGCTCCTCCTCTAGAGTCTTCTAGTTGGCGCGGTGGCTCAGTGTAGACCCTCTGGAGCTCTGCTGCCTGGGCTGAGGTCCTGGCTGTACCCCTTGTTGCCGTGGGACCCGAGACTAGTCACCTTCTCCTCGGGACCTCGGTTCCCTCGTCTAAAAGTCAAGCTGTCATAAGGATGAGTGAATGGACACAGATCCCTGAAGGCAGGCCTGGCACACACATCATGCTCCGTGTGCTGGTTTTTATTATTGAAACAGTGCTAATCTCTGAGTCAGAGGATCCCAGGCCCAACCCTATTTCTGGCACCAGCCAGCCACCGTGACCTCTAGCACTTGACCTCCGGGAGCCCCATTTCCCTGCTGGGAGGATGAGATCATGAAACCCACGCTTCTGCAGAAAGCTTTCTCACCCCCAAAGTTACCCAGTCTCCCCGGGGTTGCTTATCAATCTGCTCAGTGGGGAAATGCCGGAAGCCTGATGCGAGCCATAAACACGTGATTTATTTACCTGCCAGAAACATCAAGTGCAGGGCTTGGCCTGGCCTTGTTTAACCTACAGGGGAGGATCCATGGGAACAACATGGGTTGAACACAGATTAGACAGACGGCCCCACAGGAAAGGAAGGACAAGGGAAACAGGTGATTTTCTCCTTTCCTTCATTCAACCCGTTATGTTTATTTGTTGGGTTTAAAAAAATTTTTTTTTCTTAATGTTTATTTATTTTTGAGAGACACAGAGAGACAGGGCATGAGCTGGGGAGGGGAGAGAGAGAGTGGGAGATGCAGAATCCGAAGCAGGCTCCAGACTCTGAGCCGTCAGCACAGAGCCTGACGCGGGGCTTGAACCCATGACCCGTGAGATCCTGACCTGAGCCAGAGTCAGTGGCTTCACCGACTGAGCCACCCAGGTGCCCCCCATTATGTTTATTTGAAGCGCCCACCCCACGCAGGGACCAAGACGGGGAAAGACCCACTGAAAACAAGTAAAGAAATACACGAACGAAGTTCATTCCAGATGATGATCCAGCTCTGAAGAAAATAAGACAGGGCAACGAGATACAAAGGGTTTGGGGTGAGGAAGGTGAGTGTTAAAAGGTAAATTTCGAAAAAGGTAACATCGTGGCTCTCGCGCAGACAAAAAAGAAAATGAACCCGTGTTAGAGATTTTATTTAACTCATTATTAATGAGGGAACCAGGCAGAAGTTACAACCAGTTCAAAGAAGAAATCAAAGAACAGACACATTTATAGATGGGGAATGTTGAAATGAATTTGCAAATAGATCCGAAACTGGCTTCTTCCTTATTCTGCAGAAGGGGATGGAAGTCAATTGAACCGCCCCGATGCCATTGATTTGCCTGTCCGAAGACAAGAATCACTTGCATTGCCATAGGAGATCTACATC